ATCCTGTTTTTATTCTGCCTGCTCTGAAATGAAAGGGCGCATATCGCCACCTACTGTAGCGAAGTGGAACGCAGTTCATCTGAAAGTTTGGTTTTCTGATATGTAAACTAGTATAAAGACTCCCAGTTTATTACTTTAGATCGACCTAGATTGACTTAGATACGCTTGTAAACACACTGAGAGTAAATTAGGGTTCATGGACTCACCCACCTTGGCTCGCGATGGGGAAGGTTATGTTTAGCGTCCAGGAAAGAGCAGAGCACATCTTGGCTAGTAGAAGCTAACCACTAGCATTAGCAACTCCACAACAAAGTTGAACTCCTTCAGGCTTGTGCTGTTTGTGAAGATAAAACATCAACATTGCAGAGCAAATGTAGGCAGACCTTGCAAGGTGTTGTCTTGCGAGGCCATGCTTACGAGGACACTGTCATTCCTTGGTCAGAGAAAATGGTTTAATGGACCAGACTTGCATCATGTGACCGCGGCAATCACATAACACCACGTGGCACAGGAGACAATGTTTTATATATACATATATATATAAATAAATAAATAAATAAATAAATATATATATATATATATATATATATATATATATATATATATATATATATATATATATATATATATATATATATTAGGGCTGTCAAAATAAACACGTTTTTAATGCAATAATGCAAAGCTCCTTTTAACAGCATTAATTTAATTAACGTGTGATTAACGCGCAGGCTTCCGTATTTTCGTTTTGCCCTCCAGGCGTTCCATAGCCTACATAAACAAGAATGTTAATGCTCAGTCGGTGGATGCTAGGTAGAGCATGGAGAGCAAAAATGGTCTTTTGAATGCAAAGTTTACATTTAAAACCACCAGATGTACAACTGATAAGACATAAGTCATCTGTGTTTACCGTTGATGTGAACTGAGCTATCTTCATAGTACTTCAAGTCTCAAATACCACCTGCTGGCGAAACATACAGCTGATGCAGAGAGCTCTCCTCCTCCTCTCCAAAAGCAAACCACGCTGGAAAGTTTTCAGCAGAGACGCCTGGACAATTTCGACATCACGTAAGCTTTAAATAGCCATTGCTAAATGGGTAGCTACAGCTTGCAGACCGATTAACATTGTGGAGGATGAAGGACTACTTGACGTAATTTGCATTGCATCAAGCGACAGCACGTATGCATTGCATCGAGAGCCACCACGGTAACCAATATATAAAAACTGTATCAAGATGAAAAAGCAAAGGTGGAGGAGACATTGAGTCAGACAAAAACAGTTACCCTAACAGGGGACTACTGGACATCTCTGAGCAATCACAGCTATCTCGGGGTAACTGCACGTTATTTTACATTAAACTGGGAACTTCGGTCCCATGCTTTGACTGTTATGAAAACAGAGGACAGAAATTTTGCTGACACATGCGCTGAACATTTTATGCAAGTAGCCAGGCAGTGGAACATTGAACTTAAAGTCAGCCCACTAACCACAGATAGTGCACGCAACATAATTGCTGCAGCGAGGCAACTACCATTTGAGCATATGCCTTGAATTGCACACAGCCTGCATCGAGCTATTGCAGTTTCTCTACAGAACAGTCCATTTGACAGAGCATTGACAAAATGCAGAAAAGTTGTTGGTCATTTCAAGCACAGCCCAGCAAATGCAGTGGAACTTGAACAACAACAAATCGCACACTCCATCAAGAAAGAGTCGCTCACCCAGGATGTGTCAACAAGATGGAATAGTACTGTAGAGATGAATCTTCAGGCTGTGCTGGTGTCTGCCTCTCCCTTAGCATGTGTTCTGAGAAATCTGGAACTGTGTGTGTGTGTGTGTGTGTGTGTGGGGGGGGGGGGGGGGGGGGTAGAAGTAATTTAGTCTAGGTGATTGGTTTCTCTGTTTCTGACTGAAATTTTATTCTGTTTTGCTGAAGATACAACACTGATCTTCTAGGAGGAGAGAAGTTTGTTTCCTGCTCTGTGGTATTGCCAGCATTGTGCCACCTCCTGCGAGTATTGGAGGTCTCTGAGGAGGACCCAGTTTAATCGGTGAAGTTTAAAGAGACTCTCAAAACAGAAATAGAGAAGCGCAAGGATAAAGCTAACATCACATGGCTCAAGGTTGCAACTGCAGTCAATCCTAGGTTTAAGGATCTCAAGTGTCTTAGCAAACCTGAAAGGGTTGAATTGTGGAGACTAATCACTGCTTTGCTAAGGGAGAGGCAGACACCAGCACAGCCTGAAGTTTCAGCAACATCAGAGCCCCCCAAGAAAAAAACTGTCCTCATGCTTTCCCAGGATTCTTCATCTGATGAAGAAGAGGACTGTATTGAGAGATCTTTGGATCGATACAAGGCAGAACCTACTATTGATACAGAGGACTATCCCCAGAAATGGTGGTCCAGACATGAAGGTGCATACAGTGTGATGGCATCCCTTGCACAGAAGTATTTGGCAACATCTGCCACATCCATACCATGTGGGAGGTTATTCTCACCTTCTGGGCATGTTGTTCAGAAGAAACGAGCTGCACTGTCTTCTGAAAATGTGAAAATGCTCGTCTGCTTGAGCAACTGGCTAAGTACAAAAAAGTAACTGGGAGAGCCCAAAAAAATAACCTGGAGAGGTTCATTGGGATAGGAAAGAAAAAATAAACCCAGAAGTGTTGCCTTTTTTTGTTCACCAGAAACAATAAGCTATGTTTAAAATGCACAGGCAGAGTACTGGTTCTTTATCACACACCTCTCTTTGTCCTAGTTTTATTCTCATGTGTTGATTTTGTGAGTCCTTATCTGGGTGGAACCATATAAGGTTAAACTGTTATTGTGAGGAAGGTTATGCTTAATTACACTTAGAATACCGTAAATTCTCTAATACAGGCCCGGGCCTGTATTTGACTGAAGCTCATCAAGCTCCAGGCCTTTATTGGAAAGAGGGCCAGTATTAGAGGCAGGCCTCTATTTCTATTTGAGCAAAATGAACTAATGGTTCGCTGGAGTTTTTGACAATTAAAATTGCGCCCACATTTTCAAAGTTAAACACATTTCTTTTAACAACAGTAGTTTCTGCTTCAGCCATCTCCCCTCTCCCCCTGCGCAGCAGCCACAAACTCACTGATGTGCCTGCAGCCTCTCGGAGTTCCTGCTGCTCTAAACATTAAAATAATTATTTAATTTTCTGTTCCTCACTTCTGATTACCTTCAGTGGTGTCTGTTGCAACCACCAGGTACAAAAACTAACTTGTTTTCATTTGACTATTTTTCTGTCCTGCCTGTTTATTATCTTCCTGCATCTCCTCTCAATCCTAAAGAGAAACTGCTACCTGGGTTCATATATATTGTAATAAAAGTAGCCGTGGGCAGCTCGGGCAGAATATCTTGCCCTCCAGTCAGAACCTGAACACACCACCAGTAGGCACTGATTTATAAAAGGATATACTTTATTATACAATATGCTAAAACACACAAATCAACCCCAATCATAAAACCTATACTAAAATACTGTGGCCAAAGTCTCCCCTCCTAAAATCACAATCTGGCATAAGCCACACAAGCAGCGGTACTTAGCTGTCACGGATGGTGTGACCCCCCTCCCCGGGGTCTGAGCTTCCAGCACCGTCCAACACCCCGGGATGTAGCTTGCGAGGACGGCGGGTAATCCACAAGTAAATCCACCAGTAAATCCACTGCTCCACAGCCAAACGCATCAGGCACAAATAAAAGACAGAAAACATCAAAGGAAATGAACCGACATGAACGATCGCGTGTTAAATGTGGCGACACCTGATTGTTACTGTGGCCGTGCTCAGGAGGCAGATCTACCGACCGCAAAAACAGCGGAGTGCTCCGAGCTTGGCGGGCGCATCAGTGATCGGTGCATCACCGGAGGACAAGGTGATGTGCCCCGCTCCACAGCATGCAGCGAAACACATCAGGCGCAAATAAAAGACAGAAATCTTTAAAGGAAATGAACCGACATGAACGATCGCGTGTTAAATGTGGCGACACCTGATTGTTACTGTGGCTGTGCTCAGGAGGCAGATCTACCGCAAAAACAGCGGAGTGCTCCGTGCTTGGCGGGCGCATCAGTGATCGGTGCATCACCGGAGGACAAGCTGATGTGCCCCGCTCCACAGCATGCAGCGAAACACATCAGGCGCAAATAAAAGACAGAAATCTTTAAAGGAAATGAACCGACATGAACGATCGCGTGTCAGTACCGACGCTCTGGCACAGCCTCCGCATGGTTAAAGTTACCCTCGTGGTCTATCACTGGCAAATCAAAAGTGAGACGATGACTCAACCGTCCCCCGTACTTGCTTGTTACCACATTCCACCCGGCCACAATAAGAGACCGGCCTTTATTCGCCTCCGCCGACTCCGGCACCGGCCTAAATTGGAGACCCGGCCTTTAATTGAATGCCGGCCTGTATTAGAGGATTTACGGTGTTTTTGTTTTTCTCATGAAGACTCTGATCGTTTTGTTATGTTTGAATTTGCACCAGTTATAATAAACATATTTTCATAAAAAATATATTTGTTCACTCCATATTTGAAATAAAAACATTTTTATCATGATTAAAAGTTATTAAAAATTAAGTTTGTGATTAACTGAGAATTAACGATAGACAATCATGCGATTAATCGCGATTAAAAATTTTCATCAATTGACAGGCATAATATATATATATATATATATATATATATATATGTATATATATATATATATATATATATATATATATATGTATATATATATATATATATATATATATATATATATATATATATATATATATGTATTCCATTTAATCATTTTCTTTGACCAAGGAATGACTTATTTAAATATAGAATGAGCCTTTTACTTTTTAAATTGTATATTTGTTAAATGAAATATGTAAGTGTGTTACTACCTGCTAGCCACCGAAGCTGCAACTACTAAGCAACTACCCAACCACATTTGGATCTTAAAAAAAACATTTTAAATTAGTTTATATACATTTAAAGAGCGGGTCAATTGAGCCTCGGAGTCCTTCTCCACCCACGTATCAATTTTAAAAAATGCAACATTAGTAGGCGTTGCCTGGAGGACCGAGAGGGCGGAGCCGCGGCAGTGACGAAGACGATGGCTAACTAGACGAAGCTAGCTCCCTTCACTCTGAGCAGTTGATAGAAGTGGAGGACGTTTCTCCCCCTCCTTACAGACACTCGAGAAGAAAGGGACCAAGTCTATTTGGAGGAGACAAGCGGACCTGAGTCTTATTGTTTTGAGCTTGTGAGTTGCCTGAAACTCCCAGAACCGACCCAACAGAATCACCTCTGAAAGGTAAGTAGCCGTTAGCCATAGCATTGGATTAGCTGCAGGGTTTGTCTCCACGGCCCTAAAAAGCTAGTATTCAGCATGTTTTAGAGGTTTATCTGCTTCAGCACACCTGGTTTTAATCAGCAACAAATAGCTGAGCTGCTTAACAGCTAATCTAACCTGTTAAAGCAGGAAAATCCACTGAAACATGCTGGATAGCTCTCCGGTAGCCCTGGGCTCAAGGTACAGTCTGCTGCATATAAAGTTATGAAAATACCCCATGAGAAAATTATTCTGTAATGTGTTCAGCCCACTAAAACTGCCCTGATTTCTTTATTTATTTACTAATAACAGCTGCTCTCTCGGTTCTAGGTCCTCTGGTGTCTGCAGCTGGTCTCCTCTGCTGGTGTCCTCAGGATCAGGAACTTCCAGAAGAATGTGCCTTTCAATGACTCTTTCCCCCTTATTTGTTATATTAATTAAATAAATCTCAATTTATATATTTCCTGTTTTTGTTCATGTCCATAAATACTTAAACATGCTTGAAATTAGAACGAGCTTTTAACAGTGAGGTGCTAGTTTAATTAATCACAATAGCTAGTTAAACATGCAACAAAAATGTGATATTCAATGTAATTTATAAATATCCATTAAAATATCAAAACTGGAATCTAAATGAGATATTTGGCAGCACAAAAAACTTGTCAAACACAATATTTATTATAATAATTGTAGGCAGACAGGAGACAGAGCTGATGGAGGTTCTCAGTCATCGAAGGAAGGCTGAAGGCTTTCCAGGAACAGGAGATGTGGTGTTGTCTCTTCTCTCTCTATTCTGCCAGATGAGCTGATAGGTTACAGGTGTGTGAGGACATCCTCATGCTGTCATAACCAGATGACAGGAGTTATCAGGTGATCAGCCAGGCTAATGAGATGCAGAAAGAAAACAAATTCAGGACAGTGTACAATATGTGGTGTTGCTCACCTTATGTGCTCTTATAGAATATTAATGTGTGCATGCCTCATGGTGTAGTCCATATTTTGCTGAATGTCCTGCAATAATGCAGGTTATTAGTTAATTTACTTTTGATAGCAAAAACAAAATATTTAATGTAAAAGTTATTTTCCAGGAGAATCAGCTTACACGTCACCACCAAGTGTCACGGGCAGAATCAGTAGCCTCCGTCATGATGTAATCACATACTTATTTAATTGTTAATATCTTAAAAATTCTGAAATGTTTTAATTTTTTTTTTTACCTTGAACAGTTCACTGAGCTTGCACTGTCACTGAGGTGGAAGCTGGAATCAACAGCAGACACCTCACACCTTGGTCTTTTCAGGGGGTCTGGACGCTCTGGGACCTTCTGGAAGATGAATTTTCATCATGGTCCCCGTGGGTCACCAGACACACTGCGGCTGTGAACTCCATTCTGGCTGGCTATGTAAAAACAAAGAAGCAGCACATTTATAAATGTTTAAAAGAGCATAAAATCACGTGTAAAAATAATCTGTAAAACAAATTAAAACTAGAAGGTGATAATAAAATGTTTACATAGAAGATTATTAAAAATAATTCACCTTTGCTACAGGGAAGGTTTCACATCAGCCTGGACAAGTACATTCATGCAGCTAAATCAGTCTGACAGCCAGTGTCTTGGGTAGATTTAGCCTGAAAAAAAAAATAGAAGCACATTGTTGTTGGAGTTTATAGTCAGATAATATACAAAAGAATCTCCTATATAGGCGCTTTATAACATTCCTAGTGTGTGATCGTTGTTATAACGTAAAAGTCAGTCACATATGATGTGGAGAGCCTAAAATGCGACCTCCTGAACAGAATTCCTCACAGAACCGGGTCACAAGCTGGATTTCACGCTGTAATGCTGTCAACAAGTGCTGCGTCAGTTAGTCACTGTTGCAGAATTGCCGACTGACTAGCTAAAGGAAGTGAACCACGTCTCTCAGACTTTGCATTTAGGTAGGGAATTGTCTTTTGAAGATGTTAAAACGTTTATTTAGCTGACTCACCTCAGACTGGAGCCCGCCGTGGTGGGGGAGCAGAGTCGGTGGGCTGCATCTAAATCGCGGAAGAGCCACGGTGGGCACAGCCTCCCTCTTCAAACGGAGACGTGCAGAATCGCGGGTAAAATGCCCACAGAGTCACCGCAACCATACTACACTACACCTACTCACCAATACTAAGACGATATGGAACACTAAACCCGAACTACTTTCCCAATTACACTAACAGCCAAACACTAACTAAACTATAATATACAACAGCCAAGCTAACACTAAATAAGTATTTATAACACTAAAAGATATGCTAAAGACTAGGATATGCTAATGCTATACGCTAATGCTGAACTACCGCTGACCTCCTACACTCGCTTGCAAATCCAACTCCCACTCGCCACAGGGCGTGGCCGAGACGCTCGTTGCTTTTATAACTTTGGCACGGAGCTGCTACGTAGTACTCTACTGGTTGACGTAGTACTTTACTCTTTAGCCATTGGCTAAAATTTATTCAAAATGACTCAAATTCTATGTTTTCAGCTGAAGGTGGCGCATTACTGTGGTTTTTAGACAGAATTTTTAATTTTTAAAGAAAATGCACCAAAATGCTAAAATAAAGAATGCACACATTTAAAACACTATTAGACACTCATTTATACAGTTCATCAGCAAAAAAAAGTTAATTTAGACGTTACTTGCTCTTTAAACTTGAAATTTGCCTCCGAAGTAGCTGCCGGCTTCTGATCCGCCATCCTTATGAAAATACTGCGGTGTTTTCTGGGAAATTCTTGACCAAGGCCAGGCTACAAGACACCTCCCGTGTATCCTTGCTCAGCTGGCTAAACGACTAACCCCCAAATTCCACTACCTCTGCTCCGCTCCGCTCCTACACGAACTCCTGAGCAAAATCGGTCCCGTTGTAGTCAATCAGAGCAATTCCACTACTGCCGTCGGGTTTCGGCAGTGTGGCGCAGTGCGCCGCCCTCTGTTCCGGCATTCGGCAAAAATAGAATCGATCCTATTTCTGCCGGACACCGGAGCACCTCCGCAGTAAATGGACAGAAATCACAACTATGGCGTTTAAAGCGTGCCACAACCCGTGCACGCGCATTGGGTCCACAGCGCGCGTGTGAACGGGACTCGCGAGCGGAAATATACATGGCGAGAGGTCATTTGTGCACTGAGAGGGAGCAAACTGTGTCTGTGAGCGCACAAGGATGTGCACAAGTGACAAACCTGCGTGCGCGCGTTGTCAACGAGCACACGGCAGAGGAAAACGTGCGCGCGCGGCAGCCTCTGTGCGCGCTCGGCAGCCTCTCTGCGCGCTCGGTTTCTGACTCCTGCTCGCTTGGCTGTAAGGGTTTTGGCACTCTGGAGGCGTGGCCTGTGGCAGATCTTCTCTGTCCCCTGATTGGTTAGTGTACCCCGCACTTTACTCTCTACCTATCTATATAAAAAAGTCTGCTAGTCAAGTAGTCGCTGGCATAGCTCAGTTGGAAGAGCGGGTGACTCTCGCCCCGGAGGATCCAGGTTCGAGGCCGGGCAAGGAAAATGTAGTAGATGTCATGTTAATTTTTCTTAATTTCAGGTATTTTACAGTTGTGACCGTTCAACTGTCATTAAACGTCCGAATGTTTGCTGGGCAGTGTTTTAAAAAGTGCACATAAGCTAGATGGTTTTAACCATATAAAATTACATTTTTTGTGATACTGGAAAAATACATACTGAAATAAAACTACTGATTGAAAACTTTATGACTGTGGTTGTACAATATATGACTCACTAATACACTGCAAACTCCCTTAGAGTGGGGCTTCCAGAGAGAGAGAGAGAGAGAGAGAGAGACAGAGAGACAGAGAGAGAGAGAGAGAGAGAGACAGAGAGAGAGAGAGAGAGAGACAGAGAGAGAAAAGTTCTTGCGTCATTAATGAATTGTTTATTTTTTTCAGTATTTAATTGACAAATTATCCTTTCAAATAATTAATTGATGAGTTACATAATTGTCCATTTAGAATTGTTGAATGGACTGAGTCAAGTTTGGTGCACTTTATATATTTCAAAACATGTTTTTTTTTATTTTAATGATGCATATAAATAATTTAAATGTTAATTTAATGAAATATTTCTATTTTTTCATTACCTCACCCTTGTTTTGACAAAAACGGGACCTTGCTGGATAATATCATGGAGAAACTATTTGTTCACAGTACATGGCTCCGTAAGGATCTGTGTAAAGGAGGAGATACTCAGAAATCTGTCTGCAGATTGTTACAACCCAGACTGGAAGTGGTGGGCTGTAATAAGAAAGGAGACCAAACAGAGGAGTGGGGGTTCAACAACTGATTTATTTAACAAAAGTAAGGATTTACTAAAGCAAGTTAGTGAACAGAAAATGGCCAGTGAGGACTCTCCACCACACAGGAGAGACCCAGTGAAAGCAGAAAAACAGTGGGCTTTGTAGGCAGCACCACACCCTGAGCCCAGGTGCCTCCAAGGCTGCTTAACGAGCTGCCTACAACAGAAGAAAAACATAATTAAACACAAATGAAAACCCAATGAGATGGTGGGGGCATCACAACACGTTCAGGACTACCCAAACACCAGTAATTCTTGACTGCACTGATCTGAGGTGTCAATGGCCATATTCCCCTCTCTTCCAGAGTCATATATTTTCCTCAAGTTCAACTGCACTCTGAAGAGGCTCATTTGGATTGTGCCACATAGGCCAGTGACCTTTGTCTTAGCACTGTATGCTGGAACTATCAGCGACCAACCTGGGAATCTGGTGTGTTGAAAATGCTACAACTAGAGATGGTCATCTTGGTAGACAGGGGTTTCTTCATTGATGACATTGTGCCCTGCAAAGTGTACAGGCCAGCTTTCCTTTCTGGCAAACCTCAAATGTCTGCATGTAAAGTTATAGAAACAGAAGCCATAACATCTCTGAGTGCATGTGGAGCGCTCCATTCATCTGGTCCAAGAACACAAGCATTTTGATTGTTATTCCCCTCCTTGCATTTGTAAACAATCAGCTATATGCTGTGGTTTTTCTCCTTACCAACTTTTAAAATAGCCCACTAGTGAAGGCCTGGGCAAAGAAGCCTGATGTCTGAGAACCTCAACATATGTACGGCAACCACACTGTATATTTACACACTTTCATAAAGAAACTGCATATCAAGCTTTCATTCAGATGACCTTCAACAGTGCTGCACCCTGCTGAGGGACATCCGAGTAAAACCTTGAGATGGCCATTTTCTGTTCACTAACTTGCTTTAGTAAATCCTTACTTTTGTTAAATAAATCAGTTGTTGAACCCCCCACTCCTCTGTTTGGTCTCCTTTCTTATTACAGCCCACCACTTCCAGTCTGGGTTGTAACAATCTGCAGACAGATTTCTGAGTATCTCCTCCTTTACACAGATCCTTACGGAGCCATGTACTGTGAACAAATAGTTTCTCCATGATATTATCCAGCAAGGTCCCGTTTTTGTCAAAACAAGGGTGAGGTAATGAAAAAATAGAAATATTTCATTAAATTAACATTTAAATTATTTATATGCATCATTAAAATAAAAAAAAACATGTTTTGAAATATATAAAGTGCACCAAACTTGACTCAGTCCATTCAACAATTCTAAATGGACAATTATGTAACTCATCAATTAATTATTTGAAAGGATAATTTGTCAATTAAATACTGAAAAAAATAAACAATTCATTAATGACGCAAGAACTTTTCTCTCTCTGTCTCTCTCTCTCTCTCTCTCTGTCTCTCTCTCTCTCTCTCTCTCTCTCTCTCTCTGTCTCTCTCTCTCTCTCTCTGGAAGCCCCACTCTAAGGGAGTTTGCAGTGTATTAGTGAGTCATATATTGTACAACCACAGTCATAAAGTTTTCAATCAGTAGTTTTATTTCAGTATGTATTTTTCCAGTATCACAAAAAATGTAATTTTATATGGTTAAAACCATCTAGCTTATGTGCACTTTTTAAAACACTGCCCAGCAAACATTCGGACGTTTAATGACAGTTGAACGGTCACAACTGTAAAATACCTGAAATTAAGAAAAATTAACATGACATCTACTGCATTTTCCTTGCCCGGCCTCGAACCTGGATCCTCCGGGGCGAGAGTCACCCGCTCTTCCAACTGAGCTATGCCAGCGACTACTTGACTAGCAGACTTTTTTATATAGATAGGTAGAGAGTAAAGTGCGGGGTACACTAACCAATCAGAGGACAGAGAAGATCTGCCACAGGCCACGCCTCCAGAGTGCCAAAACCCTTACAGCCGAGCGAGCAGGAGTCAGAAACCGAGCGCGCAGAGAGGCTGCCGAGCGCGCACAGAGGCTGCCGCGCGTGCACGTTTTCCTCTGCCGTGTGCTCGTTGACAACGCGCGCACGCAGGTTTGTCACTTGTGCACATCCTTGTGCGCTCACAGACACAGTTTGCTCCCTCTCAGTGCACAAATGACCTCTCGCCATGTATATTTCCGCTCGCGAGTCCCGTTCACACGCGCGCTGCCATGTATATTTTCGCTCGCGAGTCCCGTTCACACGCGCGCTGTGGACCCAATGCGCGTGCACGGGTTGTGGCACGCATTAAACGCGATACACAACCGACCAACAGGAAAGGGAGCAAGCACAACTTCCGTTTTTTCACAATAAAACGATAAACAACAAGTGTTTCTTTGGTTCATATGCACAGGTATGTTTATCTAATGACCATTACATGTACACATATATGTCTCAAAACATTTTTTGCGTGTTTACACATAATATTGACTTACACGTTCTTCAACTTATCTTTTAATTTGAAAGCCATTTTCTCGATACCTACATCACTCGAGTTACGGGAAAAAGGCAGAAGAAAAACACTTACGAGCAAGATCAGAAGATGGACGAGGAAAAGCTCATCCTTGAAGTGGAAAAGTACAAGATATTGTATGACACCACGCATCCATTTTACAAGGATGTCAAAAAGAAGGACGATGCGTGGGCAGAAATTGGCAAAGTTCTACAAATGACTGGTAAGTACCGTGTAACATGCATGGTCGTGTATTGTAAAGTTTCCAAAAAAACTCATGGAATGAAAATCCCCTCTATCAGTTATAGGACAATTTCAGCAATGCATAATAGGTCTACATTAATATACTATAAATTATATTATATATTATATTCAGCAAGTAGTATACATGTATTAAAGATTTATATGTGTACTACTTGCAGAATAAGATTCTGTATATGGTCATATTTGTAGCAAAGATTTGTAGAAAAACATTGTCCATTTGTTTGACATAGAATATTTTGCAGAAAATACTTAAAGCATCACTCCAAAATAACTCCTATGTTCTGCTTTCAGCAGTGAGGAAAAAGAAATAGCTGTATGTGCAATTTAATGCACCCTGTAGTGTGCTTTAAATGCAAACAGTGCTAATCTCATGCTACTGTTCACAAAGGTGTAAACTTCCCTCTTCTGAAAAAAACAACTAAAACCCTTTCCTCGAGTATCCCACTTATTTAATCCCTTTGGCTTATTATAAGAATAAAGAAAGAATGACAAAGTCAAATAATACTTTTATTTAGGAAACATGCACACATTTATCTGTGGTTAAACAGTTATAAAAATCACGACACAGTTGAGAACTTGTAAAAAAAAATAAGATGCACACATTTAGATTGCACAGTGTCTCAACATTGTTTCAGCTGCAGGACTTATTTCCCATTTCACACCATTCTGTCCTGCCAAGTCACACTGCCCTCAGGAGAGATGAAAAAGTCACAAAAGATCTCCCTGATGTTGCAGGCCTCTCTAGATGCCCGATTTGGACCCATGTCTCTCACTGGCACCATGTGTGTGGTCTGTTGGTTAGCTTCATCCAAGATTGCTTGGTTCTCACTTGGTGCAATCAAGAAGTTGTGCAAAATGCATGCAGCAAGAACAACACTGTCCACCTTGTCAGGATGGAGGTGTATTTGCCTGTAAAAGATCCTCCTTCTAGAGGCAAGAATGCCAAATGCATTCTCAACTACCATACGTGCTCTTGACAGCCTGTAGTTGAAGATTCTTTTCCTGTGAGTCAGATTATGCCCGGGGTATGGCCTCATCAGGTACGGCTTCAGTGGAAAAGCTGCATCCCCCACCATGACATGGGGCACAGGGGTAGCATCAGCAGCACCAGGCAGGGGGGCATGGGGAGGCACATGAAGCGTTCTTCTCTCCATTCCAATCCCCAGTGCTGAGCAAGCGTAGACAGCTCCATCACTGCTTCTTCCAAAGTCCCCCACCTGGATCACCCGAAATCTGTAGTCTGCATCCACCAGAGCCAGCAGCACAATGGAGAAGGTCTTTTTATAGTTGAAATACTGGCTTCCAGAGCGTGGTGGAGCTTGAATGTGTATATGTTTCCCATCCAATGCCCCCAAACAGTTAGGGAAATTCCATTTCTCCAAGAAGCCTTGTGCAACGGTCTTCCACATTTCTTCAGTTGGGGGTGGCAGATATTGGCCGATCATAACTTTCTCAATAGCAGCACACACCACATGGACAGAGTTTCTGACCGTAGTCTGGCCAAGACGGTAGCTGAAAGCCAGACTGACAACCGGAGGCCAAAAACCTGTAGGCAGAAAAACAAAGCAAAAAATTGTGTTATTTTTGACTGATTTTCAAATTATTATTCTTTCAGGTGATCAATGTAAAAACAAATGAGGGCACTTCAGGGCAGCTATGTGAAGTCCCAAAAAAAGTCCAATCTACCCAGTGGATCTGCCACAGGGACACAAAAGGAGCGGAAATTTGAAAAGATTATGTCTTTTCTAATTCCATATCTGCAACCAAGAAGGTAATTTGATGCAAGCCTGTTTATTCACAAATGGCCAGGTAAATTGCCTTAAATTTGTTATTCTGTCAAACAATTTCAGTTATTAGATTGACATTTTAAGTTTCGGTTACTTGTGTTTTTACTAGAATAAATCCTTTTTCACACAGCTCAAGAAGTAGCTTGGACTCTGCATGCCAGATGAACACAGAGGAGGACCAACCTCCGACTCCTTTGAGCCTGTCTGGACCAGATGAGGCAGCAGGTCCTTCAAGACAGTCCACCCCTTCCACTGCTGCTGCTTCTGCTGCTGAACCTTCCACATCAAGAGGCCGGTCGCGTAGCCCATTGAAACGGACCCCACACCCTACCGGCCAGTCAATGAAGGCATATAGAGGTGGGGCATCTAAATGGGTGGAGTTTGGGGACAAGCTGATAGAGCTCCTGAAAGAGCCACTGCAGCGCCCGTACATGCCAGAAGGAGCAACTGATGAGTGCTACCACTTCGCCCTCAGTATTGTTCCACTCCTCAGTGTAATGGAGATGAACAACAGGCAAAATGCTAAAGTAGGCATTATGCAGTTGATACAACATCACCAGCAGCTTGAGCAAAACCAGCAGCAGCAGGGCCTCCACCAGCATAAGCACCACAAGCAGCAGGGCCTCCGCAAGCACCAGCACCATCAGCAGCCGCAGTAGGGCCTCCACCAGCAGAAGCACCACCAGCAGCAGCAACACCACCAGCTGCAGGGCCTCCATCAGCTGCCGCAGCAGGGCCTCCGGCAGCAGCAACACCACCAGCTGTGGGGCCTCCGGCAGCTGCCGCAGCAGGGCCTCCACCAGCTGCAGGGCCTCCAGCAGCAGCATCATCCCTCATACCAGCAGCAGCAGCCGAGTATGCAAACCCCCACCCCGTCACAACCTACACAGACATCTACCCCCACTCATCCTGCCTTTGTCCCATCTACCTCAACTGCAGGACAGTTTGGGGAATTTATGGTCTTGCTTACTGCGGTAGATAAATGGGACGTCGATGAGCCTCAGGAATAGGCATTATTTTTCTGTACTACTGACTTCTTGGAGTGTTTGATTATTACCTAGACCAGTTTTTTTATATTACTGTTTTCAGTTTGATGTTTATAGCTACATGGTTATGACAATTTATCTTTTCCTTTTTGAGGTAATATTTATTTTCTTTCATTTTTATGAATGTTTACATTTTTTGTTTTATAAGTGCTTGTTTTGGAAATGTCTGTGTTAAATAAAAGTTGAGTTCTGCATTTGAGAATGAGTCAAACTGTTCACCTTATTCCAACAGCTAGTCATTGTTTAGGTTCAATAGCTGCTCTGAAGGATGTAGACTGTCTTCTCAACTCTGGTCCAACAAGGGACAGAAGCTCATCCATCTTCTCTGCAGGCATGCGGAAGTACTGGTGGTGCCTCTGGCTGTCCAGTCGCAGCTCTGCAACAAGATGGTAGAAGTCCCCTTGGCTTCTTCATTGTTGGTTCAGTGGGTGCACCCAGAACCTGCTCCTTCTGATGAACCAAATCCAGTAGCAAAAGGAGAGCTATAGTTCTTCTTCGGCTAACATGTGCTTCTGCAACAACAATTATGCACATTAGACTACAAAAACAAGCTCCAATCTAGTTCAATTACATATAAACGTTTTCTTGTAACAACTATCAATGGTGGTTGGACTTTAAATGCACAAAAATAAGCCATAAATATTGTTTCTACTATCAACACACTCATCCATTGTTGATCCAAACACTTGCTGATATCTTAACTCAAATGATAGGCAGATTAAACAGTTCTTCTCCAAGCTTCTTCCACACAGGGATTTGTTTGGCTCAAACATCCGCATTTGTTTCGGACTGTATCGCGAGGACATGAAAATCCCTCGCATGCTTGTTTGTGCACCTTGGGTCTTCGCACCGGAGCGGAGCAGAGCGGGGCGGAGCGGAGACTAGTAAAAATTGAGTTCGGAAGCGAGCGGCTGCGGAAGGCGGGGGCGGACCGGAGCGGAGGTAGTGGAATTTGGGGGTAAAAAACGGAGAACACACCTTGGCGGTTCCTGATGACGTATCTCCTAGGCAACCGGGGTGGGACCAAGACATCAAGGCAAGGTTCCTTGGCATTGAGAAACACCCTGACTCCAAGTCCTGCCATTTCCCACCCCGGGCCGAAGACAAAGGTCCAGTTGCAGAGCTGAAGACTTTACGTCTGCTGCTGCTGCAGGCTCACACTTCTACAAGAGACAGCGCAGGCATCAACCTGCAATCTCTGGTTCTGCAGCCATCAGACACTTTGGCATTTCCTGGTGCTGATTCAAATGGGACAGGATGAACTCAGATTCTAAAAGACAGAAGAATGAACGGGGTGAACACAGGAAACTGAGAACCAGGAAAATAAACTATATAGCGAAGATGAAGTTGTCTTACGGAACTGAGCTGGAGTATGGAATGCAGCGGGGAGGCAAGTCAGGTCTGTGCAGGGGAATATCCGGTGGCAATGTGTAGCTGGTGGTTGCGGATGATTCCGGACAGGTGGGCGGTGGAGAGCGGGCGGCCAGGGGAGCTGAGCGACGTTGGAGATGACGACAAACTTCAGGCAGGAGAGAACCAGGTGAGGATCCAGGGAAGGTACTGGGACAACCAAGGTAGACAGAATGAGCGCGGGTCTCAAACACAATTTCAGAATTATCTGACAGGACAGAACGTGGCTAGAGTTACCCAACGATAGAGTATCAACCGGCGCTGAAGTGTGGCAACACCGTTCCTTAAACCCCCTGGCCCTGCTGATGGAATCAGCTGCTGCTGCGGCAGTGGCTCTCAGACACGCCCACCTGCAAAACACAGGAGGGAGAAGAGCCAGCAGAGGAAACAAGCAGAACCATGACAGTACACCCCCCCCCCACCCACCCACCCCACCACCACCCCCAAGGAGCGCCACCTGATGGCCCAGCTGAGGAGGAGGACGAGGCCTTGAAATCCCTGATGAGGGAGACGTCGTCAGTCCATGAACCCGGGACCCATTGATGATGCTCCGGGCCATAACCCTCCCAGTCAACCAGGTACTGGCGGCCACGACCCCGGGGGCAAACGTCCAGGATGCACTGGACCCGGTAGCCGAGACCGCCGTCTGAGAGCCGAACTGGAGGAGGAGGGTCAGCAGGAGGACACAAGGGACTAGACACAACAGGCGTACTCAGGGATATGTGGAACACGGGATGAATTCTCATGGACAAAGGCAGGGACAGATGGACAGACACCAGACTGAGGACTTCGGCGATGGTGTAGGGACCAATGTACCGGGGGGAGAACTTCCTGTTGGAGTCCCTGAGGTTAATGTCATGGGTGGACAGCCATACCTGTTGGCCTGGAGCATAGGCAGGAATGGGACTTCTGCGTCGATCAGCCAGTCTGCGGTTGCAGTCGGCGGTTCACTGAAGGGCTGCCAGGGTCTGGTTCCAGGTGCGCCAAGCACGGCGGATGAACTGGGGTGCTGTAGCTGGGGGGTCGGCGTCAGAGGTAAACAGAAGTGGCTGATAACCTTGAGAGATTTTAAACAGGGACTGATCTGTAGCAGAGGAGACATGAGAGTTGTGAGCATATTCGATCCACGCCAATTGGTTGCTCCAATCCGAGGGATTGGAGGAGCAGACACATCTCAGCATGGCCTCCAGCTCCTGGTTCATCCGCTCACACTGGCCTTTGGTCTGTGGGTGAAAACCAGAACTTAAGGCGACCCGGGCCCCCAGATGAGTGGCGAACTCCTTCCACACCCGAGATATGAACTGGGGCAGCCATTCCTTCACTGCATTTACTTTGTCTGGATCTGTCTTTAGCTGCCCACTCTCCAGAACCAACCCGAGGAACTTGACAGATGATGAGTGGAACTTGCATTTCTCGGCCGGTGGTTCTCCAGAAGTCATTGTAGAGCAGCTCGGACGTGGTGACAGTGTTCAGGGATGGATCTGGAGAAAATGAGGATGTCGTCAAGGTACACTGTAACAAATTTGTTTATGAAATCACAGAGTACGGAATAAACAGGGATTGGAAAACAGCAGGAGCATTAGTGAGACCGAATGGCATGACCAAATATTCTAAATGTCTGAGAGGGGTTTTAAACGTCTCCCTCTCGGATCCTGACTAGGTGGTAGGAGTTACGGAGATCGAGCTTGGTGAATACAGTAGCATCACTAACCGGGTCAAAGGTGATTGAAAGTAGGGGAAGTGGATACTTGTTTTTGACAGTGACGTGGTTCAGTTCCCGGTAATCGATGCATGGACGCAGAGATCCGTCCTTCTTAGATACAAAGAAGAATCTGGCTCCTAGAGGCGGGGTGGATGGTCTGATGATCCCAGCAGCAAGGGACTCTGAAATGTAAAGTGACATGGATTCTTATTCGGGTTTAGAGAGATTATGCAGCCTGCTGGAGGGGAAAGGTGTGTCGGGTCGAAGGTCAATGCACATATAAAACGGCCTGTGTGGTGGTAGAGACAAGGTATGATCATTACTTAAGACCTGTTGGAGATCGTGATATTCAGGGGGAACTCTAGACAGGTCAGGAGGCTCTGAGGTCTTGGGTCTGGGAGTCTGAACAGGAAGAGAAGCAAATAACATGCACTGAGATAAACAGAAACTACTCCAAGTAGTGATACTTTCTGACTTCCAATCGATTTGTGGATTATGGCAAGTTAACCATTCATGGCCCAGGACAACAGGTGACTGTGGAGAGGGAAAAACAAAAAAGGACATGATTTCTCGATGGTTACCAGACACAAGCAGATTGATGGGAACAGTTTGGTGGGTGATGGTGGTTAGAGAATTGTCGTCCAGAGAGGATACGTGTAGGGGTGTGGCAAGGAGCACGGTGGGGATTTCCAGCTGCTGCACAACAGTCAAATCCAACATGCTGCGTTCACAACCTGAGTCTATTAGGGCAATGGTGGGGAAAGTTCTTTGATTGAATGAAATGGAACAGTTTATGGAGCACAGGGGTTTGTGATTCATGAATCCACCCACCAGTAACCCTGGAACTACTGGTGGGACCATTCTTTTGACCGAACAGAACAGAGCGAGGTCATGTGGCCAGATTGACCGCAATAGAGGCAGAGACCAGCTGACCTTCGTCTCAGTTTCTCCTCAGGGGTTAGCTGGGTGTGTCCAATCTGCATAGGTTCCACAGGGGCAGGTTGCGGTGAAGGCTGTGTTGGGGTCCTTGTGGACAGTTTAGGAGCAGCAGTCGGTGGTAGATACCGGGGAGGTTTACTCTTACTCTTCAGGCGTTTCTCAATTCTGGCGGCTAAGGTAATAAGGGTTTCAAGGTTCTCAGAATCCTGACAATAGGCTAATTGGTCCTGAATTTTATCAGTTAGGGCCTGTGAGAAGGCTGCTCTGAGAGATGCTTTGTCGAGCGTGGAAAAGGAGGTCCTAAATTCTATGGCGAATTTGATTGCTGAGAGCTTTCCCTGGTGGAGGCTCCAGATTTGTTTAGCTAATTCTGCAGGGATGTCTGGGGTATCGAAGATTAGGTTGAATTCATCCAGAAAATCAGCAAGGGAACCGAGTAAAAAGCTAGGCTGGCAACTCCTAGCTTCGGCCCATGAAAGAGTCTTTCCACGAAGCAAACCGACAATAAAAGAAATTTTAAATGGGATCACTGGTAAAGGTGTCGGGTGATCTTGCAAAAGCCAGCCGGAAAATAATAAATTACGGCATTTGCCAGGCTCACCCGAAAAGGCCGCTGGCGTTGGAGATGCTGCAGCCTGGAAGTGACCCCGAGGTGGCGGAACCGGAAGTGACGGCGGGGACGGAGTGGCAGAGGGAACAACGTGAGGAAGTGAAGAGTTGAGCTGATTCTGTA